CAGTGTCCCCGAGTCCGGGCCGCAGCCGCTGCCCCCACCCGGGCCGCGCTCCCCCTTTCCCGCTCCCTCCCTCCCGGCTCCAACTCCTCCTCCATGCCTCTGTTCCTCCTGCTCCTACTTTTCCTGCTCCTGCTGCTCGAAGACGCCGGGGCCCAGCAAGGTGAGTGGTCCCCGGACAGAGCGCCGCTCCCGAAGTCCCACGTCGGGGCGCCGGGTCTCTTAGCTGTTGAACGAATCTGCAGACGCCGGGAGGTGCGGGGCAACTCGTGCGTGGCCAGACCTCGAGGACACTCGCGGGGTGGAGTTGCAAAGGTGGGCTCTCCCTTCCAGTCTCCCGAGTTGGCGCGGCTTTAGATTTTGGCAAGGCCAGTCATTTATTTGGAAAGAAGATACCTGACACCCTGCAGTGGAAGCCTCCATCCTTGGAAAAATTGGGGGGAGCAAAGAACTTTTTGAGCTATGAACCCTAGGATTAAGCCACATAGGTAGATGGACCTAATAAGTAGGAAGGCAAGAAACATAAATAGCATCTTAAATCTCATCAAGACAAATGATTACCTTTTGTGAAAGTGCTCCGTGTTCTTTAGCGAATAAAGAGGATTGTGGTGATTTCTGAGCTTGTATTCTGAACATGTTCTTTACAATCTCTGCCTATTATTGAGGATAGTTGTATATAGATTACCTTGCTCAAGCACTGTGTGACCCAGGGTAACATACGATGTTGCCCAAATGCAGCATTGCACATTAAAGGGTAAGACTTTCCAGAAAGTTAAACAACTTTTTTGGGTCTACATCCCTTGAAAAACTCATTACAGAAATGAGCAAAACTGTTTATTGAATAGTCATCAGAATGGAAAGTTAATGCTCAACTTTTTGGGGGGGGGTAACTTCTGGCAGTGTACCACAATTATTGAATCCGTTTGGCATCAGTTATCGAACACATTTTTCTTCACTTTTCCCATTTTATTGCAGTGGGAAGGATGAAGATTGGATTGTTACTTGTTGCTGGGAAGATTTTTAAAAAATTGATGTCCACGTTTACGTCCAGCTTAATGTTGCTCTCATATGGTTTTCAGTAAAGTATGGAATCAGGGCCATGAGACTGTCATAGAGAAGATGCTGAAACTTTTGACAGCCGTTTGGAAATGTAATCTCTCAGGGAAAAGATGTATTTTGTTGAACTGAATTGTACAGATGTAGCACATTTCTACACTAACTTAAAATTTAGATGCTTAGTATGCAGATTTCATCAATATTTAACATGTCGAAAGAGTGTGAAGCTCTGTTCAAGTTTTAGAGTCTTCGCATGCATTTCTTTCTAATAGGGGGTGAACAGAGATAGGTTTATGTAAGACAAACACTGTAGACCTTCCTTTGTGTAAAGAACTGGATTAAGTGGTTTATGTAAACTCACTCATTTAATCCTCTTCACAGCCAGTAAGGTAGATATTGATATTCTTTGAACATAAGGAAACCCAGAAATAAAGAATGTAAGGTACGTTCATAGAGAAATGAGTATGATTACATAAACGCAATAGTCCCTGTTTTGCTTATTTCTACATGTATGTTTGCATCATGTTTTTACAAATTTTTTCAGTGAAGAAAGCAATATTTCTTCCTCCCCAAAGTTAGACCCTTGTCTTGCCTTGCTTTGAAATTTTCTCGTGCCTAATCAAACATGAAATATATCTACCCATGAAATATAATCACATTTTAGTAGGCTTTATATCACTTTTTGCCAGAGCATTTAAACAAATATTTGCTCTTTTATAGCATGAAATGATGTGTAGCAACGACGTACACATCATTTTGGAGGAGCACATCATTATAAAGTAAGAAAATTATAATAGTTATTAAAAGACAGGATATTTTTAAATTCATTAATTTTATTGGTACATTTTAGGTACACAATATATTGACATTCACTATTGGGAATTTCTACCTTTACATAATACATCTTGGTTTTTACACCCTTCTCTGTTTACAAAGTCTGTTTCCATTTTTTCCTTTTCTCATACTCCTTTCCCTTTCCTTTTCTTTACCCTTCCCAATTCCCCTTTGGACCTTTTCTTCCTATTTCACATTATCTATTATTTTGATCCTTATTTACACTTCCAGTTTCTCCCACTAGAGAAACTATTTGATATTTACACATTTGTGTGTCCTATTTATCTCACTTAAGAGTATGGCCTCGATGTCCCATCCATTTAGCTATAATTGTCTCTAGTTTCTCATTCTTTATGGCTGAATACTAGATTTTACAAAAAACATTTTTAAAAGACTAGATTTTTTTTTTTTTTTTTTTTGAGACAGGGTCTCACTATGTAGTTGAGACTGACCTGGAACTCACTATGTAGTCCAGGCTGGTCTTGAACTCACAGTGATCCGCCTGCCTCAACCTCTGGAGTGCTGGGATTATAGGCCTGCACCACCATGCCCGGCAAGACTAGATTTTTTTAAAAAAATTGACTGGATATATATTGTCATTTAATCTCTTTTCAGTTTTCTACATTGTTTAAACCATAATACTTGTTTCATAGCTTAATGAAAATGAAATTATAGTATGCAGGAGTTTTGCAAAGACAAGCACAGTATAGTTTTAAATGATCATCATTAATCCCGAGTTACTAAATTTGTAAATTAAGGGCTAGTTAGGTAAATATCATCCTGAATTCCTGAAAACTGAGAAAGTATGTGAAATTTGAATTTCCTAGTTTTTAAAGTGTAATTCTTACTCAAAGAACCCTACAGCAGTCTGAGATGGAATTCCTTTCAACCCAGTCTTACCAGTTTTAACAGATTGCTTCAAGATATACTGGTATATTCTCACATAACCTGAGAAGCAGTCTCATTTAAAAATGAGAAGCAGGGCCGGGGATTTAGCTCAGTGGTCCCACCATCTACCTTGCAAGCGCAAGGTCCTAAGTTCTATCCCCGGTACAAAAAAAAAAAAAAAAAAAAAAAAAAAAAGAGAATCAGTGCTTTCAAACACTTAATAGAATTTTTAATACTGTGACCTTCCACATGTTGTACAAGGTGTAGTTTTTATTCTCTTAAGAAATCTTAAGACTAGAAGGAAATAAATAATAACAATTGTCTCGGTGGTAGAATTATGGGCTCTTTATACTTTTTCAAATTTTTGCACATTTGCATATGGTCAGAATAAGAAACTGAAGAATGTTTTCTGATGATTTTTTTTTTCTCAGCCTGAGTAGGTAGAAATGCACATCATGTATCTGTTCAGGTAGAATTGTGCTTCAGGGTTAGTTAATTTTACTTTTTGAAAGTTTTGCCAACATTAGTTTGAAATAGCACAATATATTATCTTCATTCCAATTAATTACATATACAGTTATAGCAGATTATATTATCTTTCCATTTAATGCAGTATTTTGCTGTTCCTCAACGGATTTTCTGCTGACAATTATTTTTCTTTTTATTCATTTCAAAATTAAATTTGTCTGGTTTGAAAACTTATTTACCATTCACAGTAGTGACATATTTTAGCCATTCTTGTTTCACTAATTTATTTAATTCTGCTTGTTGTATGTTAGTGTTTTAGGTATAGGTTATATGCATATATTTTTGAGTTCTAAATTTGAAATCTTAATTCTCTTTTCTTGAAAACATTTTTTCTGTAAATACATACTTTTCAGTGCTTGAGATTGAATGTAGAGCCTTGTGCATTCTGGGTAAATGCTCTGTGCTGTTGAACAATGCCCCAGCCGTTTTTATTTTTTATTTTGAGATGGGTTCTGGCTAAGTTAGCCAGGCTAGCCTCCAGTTCCTTCTGCTTCAACCTTCCAAGTAGCTGGGGTTTCAGGTATGTGTCACTACACCCTGTTTGTATATGTCCAAAAATCTTAAATTGGTGAAATTATGATATTTGCATATTTACTACTGTGATTTACTTAAAAAGGAAGTTGGTCTTATGCCAAATTTATGTCTCCAGTTTACAGTAGGGCTAGGAATTTAGGTTGCCTCATCTTAGGAACTCAGCTTTCCTCATTCCTGGTGGAATGCAGGCCTACCCTCTGGGTTAGAATGTGATTTGATTGTGCTGAAATATCTGGAAATTAATTTTAAACACTCATTAAGACTGACTTGTTTATACCTATTAATATAACATTTATGATGAGGGCATTGATTTTGTTTAATTTAATAAATATGAAATACATCAGTTTCAGTCTTGAAAAGAATAATTCAGTTTCACAGTGATTTTTGGAATCAATAGGTAAAAAATATTGTAGAATATCATGTAATACCTTTACTTGTGATGCAGGAAAATAGTTTTTGAACAGTATTTGTGACTTTGTCAGTGATGAAGAACTTGTTCCTATGTGCAAAGAAATATTTGTAATAATTTCTAATATTACTAGATTAATTTAGATTTTCCAGTGTCTTTCTTGGTTTGATAAAATATAAGAAATGTTACATATAGTTTTGTTTAGAAGCAAAAAAATCAGACCATCCTTTTCTGCTATATTTCTGATTAATTTTGCACAGTGAAAATTAGAAACATAGCACACATTGTATATATGCTAGTGATTGGATTTAAAATCCACATTTTTGAAACATGAATGAAAAAATGATTAGTTAAATTTCTCAATGTTAAACCAAAACAATAACTTTATTTCCCAACTGATAATTCTTTTTGAATATGTGAGCTTCCTTTTGTAAAACCAGCAACCATCATGGAAAAAAAAAAAATCTTAAGATGGTGAAATTGATACAAGTAACAAGTACTAAAATTAAAGTGACAGATGAATGGATTGATTTATGGAAAGACATTATCAGATCATGTGTGATGAGAGGAGGCTAGGTTTACATGAGGATAGATTTTAAATTTAAGGATTACACTAGCAAAATGACTAAGATATGAAAGCTTTGGTAGTCAGATTGAGCATTAATTTAATTTATGCAAATAGACAATGCCTGCTTCCACTTGACTAGTTGCACGGTAATGGAATGATGACATAAGAGTAGAAGGACTGGGATAAGCTTCATAAAGATAATTTTTCTTAAGTGTGATTGTTGAGATACAAAATGAGATGAGCTGGCAGGTTTTCTTGAGTGGCTTCTAAATTGGGTTTCTTTGTAACAGCCATTTGGTTATAGCATTTTGCATCTATTTTTTAAATGTTTTGCACATGACAATGA